AGGTTGGAATTGTCAAGAAAATGGTGTCACCTTGGGAAGGACTGTATAAAATTGCAGAAGTCATAGGGAAGGGGGCATATGTCCTAAAGACCATGGCTGGAAGGCTGGTAAACAAGCCACGGAATGCCACATCTTTGAAAAGGTATTACCAATAGAAAATTGAGTATTGAGCTCCAGTCTGGTCAGTGTATGTTTCCAATTGTGTGCTTACAAATGTATAAAACTTCAAAAGATCTACAGAAAGTATTATTTTCTTCTAGAAAGGCGACCGAGCGTTAAGCACTTAGCAAAGTAAGTGGCAATTGGCACTATGAGCCGAACGCCAAACACTTGCTAAAAAATAAAAAGCCAGGTGGCAAGTGGCATTCTAGCCGAGTGCCAGACACTTAGCAAAGTAAGTGGCAATTGGCACTATGAGCCGAACGCCAAACACTTGCTAAAAAATAAAAAGTCAAGTGGCAAGTGGCATTTTAGCCGAGCGCCAGGCACTTAGCAAAATAAGTGGCAACTGGCACTATGAGCCCAACTCCAAACACTTGCTAAAAAAAATAAAAAGTCAGGGGGCAAGTGGCATTTTAGTCGTGCGCCAGACACTTAGCAAAGTAAGTGGTAATTGGCACTATGAGCCGAACGCCAAACACTTGCTAAAAAAAAATTTAAAAAACCAGGTGGCAAGTGACATTCTAGCCGAGCGCCAGACACTTAGCAAAGTAAGTGGCAATTGGCACTATGAGCCGAACGTCAAACACTTGCTAAAAAATAAAAAGCCAGGTGGCAAGTGGCATTTTAGCTGAGCGCCAGACACTTAGCAAAGTAAGTGGCAATTGGCACTATGAGCCGAACGCCAAACACTTGCTAAAAAATAAAAAGCCAGATGGTAAGTGGCATTCTAGCCGAACGCCAGACACTTAGCAAAGTAAGTGGCAGCTGGCACTATGAGCCGAACGCCAAACACTTAATCAAAAAATGAAAAGTGGAAGTGGCAAGTGGCACTGTGAGCCAAACGCCAAACACTTGTTAAAAAATAATAAAAAGAAGCCGAATGGCCAGTGGCACTCTAGCCAAGCGCCAAACACTTGCGTTAAATGACATTCAGAGGCGGCAATGAAATAGTAAAAGCCCTATGAGACAGGAATTAGTCAAAACTCTTTCATTCCATTAAATTTATGTTCATCAAACATTTACAAGGATGGTTCTGGTGGAATGAACACAGTATACAAAAGAAGATGATGCATCTGCAAGTAATTATTTAGTCCTATCTACGCCCTCAGTCTCTTGCCCGCGCTCAGAGTTCCCCTCATCTTCGTTAATTGTACTCTCCCCTCGGGGGGGAGAGTCAAGTTAGATGATCGCTCCATCCGGTTGGGTTCCGCCCTCAGCAGCAGGTGCATGAGGAACTATAGTGGAAAGAAGAGGAACGTCCAGGGGATGAGCAGCTGAGGGGATAGGAATAACTCCGGAAGAAGCAATCTCCTGGCATTCATCGAAAATATGTTCAGCAGGAGTGGAGTCCGGGTCAGCACAAACTCCTGGGAGATCGATCTCCAGCTCCTTGTCAATATCATCTGGACCGGCGCCTGAACTGGTCTGACCCTCAGTGGGAAGACGGTCACTGTAACCCTCCCTATATCCCTCAGCATATCTAAGAGCTCCGATGCTGGAGAAGCAATCATGCAGAGCCGTCACTCCGCCATTAACCTTGCCGATGACACCGAGCAAGGCATTGCGCTCATCTAGGGCCCTTTTCTCGAAAGCCATACGCTCTGCTTGTTCATTATGAAGCAAGTGTTGAAGATTGTCTCTTTCAGTCTTAAGTGCTTCACGCTCGGTCTGCCAAACGCTCTTCTCGATCTGAAGGGCGTCCCTCTCATTTTGAAGGGAGTCCGCTTCTTTTTTCAGAGTATCCCTTTCATTCTCAACTTTATTTAGTTGCACCATCAGTTCGGCGTTCTTGGTGCTGATGATCTTGTTCTCCTTGTTAGCTGCATCAAGGCTAGTAGAGAACTTTCGTGCCTTAGCATTGGTAGCCTCGACATGCTTCTGCATTGTCATCATGCCAAACAGAGTCTGCAAAGCAATACATGAGTACTAATTAAGCCGAACGTCTATCTAGAGAAATTGTAATATGAAGACATTTCTAAAGCGACCAAGAGAGGGGTAGGGAATTACCTCTATAGCAGCCAGAGGAAAGCGACTGAACACTTCTTTCTGAGACAGAGCTTTGGCAACTTCAATGTCTTTGGGGGACCACATGTTCTTGTAATAGGCCATGGAGGTTGGGCCTTCTCTGAATGTGGTCTCGCTCGGCTTAACAACCGATCCATCCGCTCGGACAAATCTGGGGGTCCATAGAGCCTCTCCAGAGGGAGAGGCGGTGGCTGCGCCGGACCCAGAGGGAGCAATTGGTCTGATTTGGGGAGGTATGGGCACGTTCAGCCTAGAAGTTTGAATCCTCCTTGTTAGAGGAACATCATCAGGATTGCCTTCACTGTCAGGCTGAGGCCTTTTTCCTCGCTCCTTATCCTGGGTAGATACAACGGGGGCAGAGGGATTTCGAACTTAAGGAGCAGTATTCGGGTTGACAGGTGGGGCAGTGACGATCGGGTTAACAACCACTACGTTCGGAGTGGTGCTGGAGGTAGTAGCAGAGGAGGATGTCGAAGCTGGAGAAGAAGCGGCTGCAGAAGCAGTGACGGCCCTAGGAGGGTCCTTCTTCCTGCTGAAGGAAGGGATCCGGAGTTGGCTCATTGTAGTGCCGAGGAGTGAAATGTCACCAAGATTCTCTGACATAAGAAGCTCCGAACAAGAAGGGACGTTGTTCAATACGCGTTCCTTCAGATATGTGACCCTATCCCTGCAAATGCCGTAACTGAGTTCGTTATTCTGTGAGATACCCAGAGAATTGCAAAGAAAAGAACAAAAGCGGGGAGTGTAAATTTCACAAGGGCAGTCGGTTGTATGATTCTTGAATTTTTTGTAGAAGGAAACAGAGCATTCACCAAAAACGTTCGGGATGGGATAGTCCTTGGCAGCTGGAGCAAACCAAGCCCCCCAAACCCCAACTATGCCCTTCTTCCACCCTTTCTCAGATTTTAGTTTGTCCGTACAGATGGATCTTTTATCTATAGGGTAACCTAATCTTGCTGACCTTATAACAAAGGAGAAGATCAATTATATCAAGATATAAGCCTCTGTCACGGTTCAGAAGCTGCAGAACGGATAGAACTCTAAAAAAATTGGGATTAACTTGGAGAGGGGAAAGATTCAACCTATTGAACACATAACAGAAGAAAGGATGTAGAGGGAATCTAATAATGTTTAGGTGGAGAAGAGAAAACAAGGTTTCACCGGGAGGAAGGCTGGCACCAGTTTTGATGTTTACACTTTTGGGGCACTCCTTAAGATGAATATTGTTAGGGAGTTGGAGTTTCATGTGAAGAACATCTAAATCGATGCGCATGATGAGAATGAATATGATCCTTGGGGAAATGTGCAGAGATTTTAAGAAGAAGAAAGAAGCAAAACTAACCTCAAGAAGATTGAGAAGTCGTAAAAGATGCTGCAGTGTGATTGAGAAGGAAAGATCTTTTGCAGGGATTCGCCAGGGAGATCTGATTCGCTTGAAAAGATTGAACAGTGATTTGACAGCAAGATAAGGTGAAAACGACAAAGGAAGTTGTGAGAACGGGTTGAGGGTTTATAAAGAGGAAGTGGGCCCATTTGCCAAGACGTCAGGAAAGTGAAGAGGCTTCAAATTTCAAAGCATTGATTCCTGAACCAACCGCTCATTCCCCCACGCCACCATCTTGAGCCGCCAAGTCATGATTAGTTTCCATAAATAATCACACCCTAATTAATGAGGGAGTGATTATGGGGGGCAGTTGAGGATACCAAAAGCGGCACGGGCCGGATCCAGCCCACATGATGAGCAATGGGCCTGGTAATTGACCTGGACCCGAACCAAGCTCTCATAAGACAGGCTCATTGATGAAAGAACCAACCGAAGATCCGCTGGAAGTAATAAAGCCCCTGATCAAAGAAGCCCGGAAGGAAGCCCAGCGCAAGGAATTAGTTAGGAAGCTTTTGGAAGGATTGTGGTAGTCTATTAATAGACGGAAAACAGAGGGAAAAGAGGGTGAAAAAATCTTGAAGTGTAGAGTTACTCTGTCAAAATAGAGAGAAAAATTTCTTGCATCTTCAGCACCCTATTACTTTATCTTGCATTTTAAATTGCTTTATTTTGTTTATATATATATATATATATTGATATATGTGAAGCATATCTTTGTATGTTTTAAGAACCATGTTCAAATAATTGGTAAATTATAGATGGAATAGAATAGAATAGAATTTTAAAATTGGTTAAATTTCCTTCCGAGAACTATTCACCCCCCACCCCCTAGGTCTGTTGAGGTGAACGTGATCTGGACAATCTTTGTGCGACTATAATCGATTGTTACTCTAGTGGCTCAGTCGATTCCCTATCAGAACTTTTACCCGTAACAAAAACAGATTTCAAATGCAACAAACTTGGCATGTAGAAGATGCATGTTGAATTTAAATATCCATACAATGTAATTGACTTTTGTCTTCTCAATCTATAATAATGACATCAAAGACATCCCAATGACTCTAGAAGTCATTATTACTGGAAATGCCATTTTAACAGTCAAATTAGGTTTTTCAATTCATTTTGGTCTTGTGTTATTTCTGCTTAAGTTTCCTCTTTTGGTGTCTTTCTTCACACTGAAAATTTTATAGATGAGATGAATACAAATTTATCATCTAATGTCACATGCTTTTTCTGGCCAGAGTGATCTTTTGAATTGAGTATATATCTGGACTTCCACACACAGGTTTAAGAACCATGGTCACTGTATATTACTTGACTCCTGTGTGATTAGGTAGTCTGATTTCATCTAGCTGCTTAGTTTCTTCTTTTTCATGTTACCTAGTATTTTGTTACTTTCATTCTTGTTATTAACATATTGAACTACCAGATCCGCAAAATGGTTGGGACAGCCGTGGCAATAAAGCGTAAATTACTCCCAAGAGATATTCTGCAGTTGTCATTGTCCAAGTTCTCACGGATTGTCCTACCACTTGCTCCCTCTGACGTTTTGATCTTGAGGGGAAACAATTTTGTGTTGAGAAAAAAACCTGGCAATGTAACAAGGCCTGAGATGCTGACGTTGGTTGAATCAGAAGAAATTGTGAAGGTGGTTGACGAGTTCTATTACTCTGTAATGTTGCCTCAAGTTGCGAAATTCATGGACCCTTTAAAATCTCCTTGGAAGGATTGGGTTGAGAATCTGGATGCAAATACAAGCATTCCAGTGGCAGAGTTGGATGAAGTCAGGAACGCTTGGAAATTGTGGAGAGAGAAGTTTCAGAATAGAACCAATGCTGCATCGCAGTTGTAAACGAATGAGCTATGACAAGTACATCGAGAGTTTATAATCTGATAATTGTACTAATGGTGGGACAGGTACCCGCAACTTTTGCTAAATAAATTTATTCATCTAATGGAGCGCGACGCCTAACTGAATAAGCATCTCCTTCTGCCTTGCTAGCCAATCTGATGCACCACATCATAGTGGTGAAAGTTGGTTTTATTTATCTTCCTGCAAAATTTAACTGGGGCTGTTTAAGTTGCTTAGCGTGAATTTTTGCTGTCAGATTCTGCTGATAACTTGGCACCTGAATGTGTCCACATTGATGAAGGTGGTTTAAGATGGAGTTAACAATGTTGACTGGCTCTGGCTGGGCAGCAAAGAAAGTTTTCTCAAGAAACAAGGGACCAGAGGAGAGAAATTTAATGGAAAACTGGAAGCATTCAACAGCAGCATGTTTGGTATGTTTTCTTCATCTTGAGCCATTTGCATATTGCCGGCATGTATTATTTGTGATGCAATGCTATAAATACATGTTTTAGAACATGATGTATCCTTCTTTTAATTCGTTATTAAACAGGCACGTGTTAATTATGGCTGCCATTAGCGACGTGAACGAAACCACATTCGCAAATTAATTTTCTGGAATTTGTATTCTGTCTTTCAGATAGAGCTTCTCTTTGTGAGCCTTGTAGCTTATGTTATTGTACGTGTGGATGATATTCTAATTTTCAACTTGATTGTGCTCATTTTTCGCATCTGGTTGCAGCACTTGGCAAAATCAGGCACAACACAATTCAATTTGAAAGATATTCCAACTAGTTATCTTACAATTGATATGAGAGATGGAAAAATATTCTGAGAAAAGAAATGGGTGTTTTTCCTTTGGTTGTGTTAAGTAGAAAGGAGAGGAACCATTACTTAAAAGTGTATTGTTTGAAGGACAAAATTGTGTAAAAAAGGAGGAAGAAGCCCGTCTTTACTTCTTTTTTTTTCTCATTTTAGAAGGGAAGGTGATGATGTGGTTCACAGGAAAAGTCCTCACCTTTTGTGTCATTGTTTATGATTCAATGCTAGTTATGTGGCACGTGACTTGAGGCCTTGCGTTAACATAATGCATGACAGGCACCTACACACACACACACACACACACACACACACACATATAGAAGTGTTCAGTCGCTCCCTGGGAGTAAGAAATTATATATTCACTTTTAATTGTAGCCTTAGGATCTAATCATAGGGTAATTAGTTAATTGATTTTTATTTTCTTCATTTTAAGAAATTTACATTTTTTTCCATACCTTCCATATCATTAAGTATCTTTAAAGATAAAGAAAAATGACATAATTAGACAATTTATTAAAGGAAACAAGAATAAAATAATTTGGCTACTATTTGCTAAATTCGCAAGCAGCAAGCAGCCACCACAGAGACTAAGTAAAATTAATGTAAAATTAAAAGTCATCATTTTTAGTTTTTTTTCCACACTTTATAAGTCCTATTGATAAATTATGAAAAAACTTAGAATTTGCAATGATATTATACATATTTTGGCATTCTTTTATCGGTAAACACTTTGAACATTTAATTTACCAAAAAAATAAAAAATAAAAAAACACTAAGAACATTTAGATGGATATATAATAATAGGTCTTTTTAAAAAATTTATGAAGCCAATAGCAGTCTCCTAATTCTAAATTAGTTGTTGAACAAATTCAAAATATTTTATTAAGCTGAGTATAAAACATGGATCAATCTTGAAATTTGAGTTTTGATTATAATCAATACTTCTCAAACAATCTTTATTTAATGACCATTTTATTTGGTTTCTGTTGCTGTTTGCAAATTTGTTGAATAAGTTTTGTTGAACAAACAATTTGTAGTGATGGGGAAGTGATTTTTATTGGACAGAGAAACCTAGACAAAAAAGTAACCAAATTATTATTATTTTTTTTTGTTTTCTTTAATAAATTGTCTAATTTTGTCATTTTTCTTTAACGATATTTAATGGTATGGAAAGAAAATGTAAGTTTCTTAAAATGAAGAAAATAAAAGTCAATTAACTAATTGCCGTAGGATTAAAATCTAAGGCTACAATTAAAAGTGAGTATATAATTTCTTACTCCTAAAGAGCAATTGAACACTACTGTGTGTGTGTATATATATATATTTAACTCTTAACAAATTCAATGCATTGAATAAGCAAATTCTTTGCTGACCCGTTTACTCATATAATAGGCCCCATTGTGTACATTATTGATTCATAGATAAACAAAAACTGTTAGTTCGGTATTTTGAATTTAGAATTAAAAGAAATTTAGTTAAAATTTTAAATTAAATTCTTACTGATTTTAAATTCAAAGTACTGATTCGGTACTTTCAAACGTAACATAATAGATTACAATATCCAGGTTGTTTTATTATTATTATAATAGTAATAATAATATTAGGGTAAATTACACCTAGACCCCCCGTGGTTAGGTCATATTACACCTATATGAACATTTTGGTTTTAGATTTCACTTATATATGAATTAGTGATTTAGCATTTCACTTGCACCCCAAATATCAATTTAAGACTATACTACCCTTTGACCTCATATTAATTATTTTTGTGACCAAACTACCCCCCTCTGTAAACCTTCCTCTCTCTCTCTACCTCTCTTTTTCCCCTCTCTCTTTCCTTTCTCACAAACCCTCACACAGATACGCAAATACACACAAACCCTCTCGTTGGAATCAATTGTAGTTAGCGAAACCAAACTCAATTCGGATTACAGGCTTAGCGAAACCCAGTTCTTCTCCGGCGACGAACGACAGAATTGAACTGACCTAGTTCCGGCGAGCTCCTAGTGTCGGCGAAATAAAACTCAATTCCGGCGAGCTCCAAGTAGCAAAACCCAGTTCATATCAGTGTGTTCCCAAGCGACGACAAAGCAACGACGGGCGTCTAGTCAGAGCAATCAGCGATGACGGCGTCGAATGTGGCCGTGGGTTGTGGAGTTGTGATACGGCGGGCCGGCGGGGGTGGTATATGGTGTGGGTGATATATATATGTGTGTGTGATTTGGTGGAAAGTGGGAAAGAAATCCTAAATCGAAGAAAGAAGATAAGGATTCAACGCCGCCGGAGGCTTCGACATCATTACCGTCTTCTCTACTGTCGTTGTCGTTTGATTTGATAAATCGTCGTCATCAACGAATCGATCCCATCGTCTCTCCCGCCGCCATTGCGACCACCTCCACCATGACCACTTTCACCGCCGCCGCGACTGTAGCTACCTCTCTCCACACAAACCCTCACACACAGATACGCGACTGTAGCTACCTCATTAATTTTCTCCCTTTTCACAAACCCTCCCGTCGGAGCACGAGATGAGGATTTTTGCCGCCGATTACGACGTCGTCGAGGCTGTAAGCCTGTAATCTGATGTCTCACTGCCGAGATATATTGATTAGGCCATCGTAGAGGTTGTAATCCGACACCCGCCGCCAACATCAACTTGCTCTTTAGCGTCGTCTTCAACAATCGACTTCACCTTCGATTCTTTGTCATCGACGTCCATTTCGGCAATGGGTGGGATGTGATTTTGTGTATTTTTGGGTTTGGTTTTAGGTGGGTGGTGGTGATGAGGTGTTGGGTGGGGGTGCAGTTTGGTTTTGGGTGGGTTGGTGGTGGAGGGAGGTGTTAGGGTGGGACGTTGGTGGTGATGGAGGTGTATACACACACACACACACACACACACACACACCCACACATATACATATAGGTGTTGAATATATATATATATATATATATATATATATATATATGGGCTTTTTTGTCATTTAAGATTATATATATATATATTGTATTAAAAAATTGAGGGTAAAATTGTCTATTCACACGTATCAAAAGTCAAAAAGTAAATTGGGGTCTAAGTGAAAGTTAAAACCAAAATCTTCATCTGGCTGAAATATGACCTAACCTCAGGGGGTCTAGGTGTAATTTACCCATAATATTATTATTTTTGGATAAATTATATTTGATAGGGAAAAATAAACCTAACCTATTTTGACCTAACGATAGAGGCAACTAGGTATTGACCAGCCGCCAAATCTCTTCTACTTTCGAAAGATAATATTTCGTTATCAAGGATAACGATTTCTATTGGATAAATTCCATGGGATAATGACAAATCTTATCAAGGATAAGATTTCCATGGGATAAGTTCCATGGGATAAGGATTATGATATTTCCTTATCAAGAATAAGGGAAGTGATGATAAATAGGAAGACGACTCGGGAATAAGATACGACGAAAAACTATTATTAAATCCCTACCTTCCTTTTAGACCTCCGGTGACTAACTTAATCGTTGGAGAGCTCTTGGCAGACACTACACCGATATCGTCAAGGTTTATCGATATTCTCCTCTCTTCCTTGCAGGAAAACGGTGTTGTATCGGACCGTGTGGATTTCATCCTCAACAGTTGGCGCCGTCTATGGGAAACTACGATTTCCTTATATATTGTTCAGTTGGGTATATGCGTTTGCGGTCCGGTATGGTTACCGAAGGAATACCGTTACAGGGATCTGGTCAAGAGGAAGAATCGAGTGAGAATCTAGACGTCCCAAAAGACCAGGAACAGCTTGCAGCGTTGGAACTACAGGTCCAAACCATGAGTCAGGGTATGGACCAGTTGATCCAGCAAAATGCAGCGCTCCTGCAACATCTTGTTCCACCGGTTCAACAAAGTTTGCCACGACAAGATCTCTCAAATCCAAACGGAGGTAATGGGAATCTTGAAGAGCAGGATAATCATCCTCCCCAAAATGAGACCGAAGTGGAACAAAGCCAAGTGGGAAACCAACATAAAGAGGTGGTCCACCCATCTCTCCCACGAAGTTCCCAACCTCATGAAGGCACAACTTTCTTCTTTTAAGAAAAGACAAAGAAAGTTACCTATTTCGACCTGCAGATTGAGGATCTCAAGGGGAAAATGGAAGATGTAATGCAGGCTATGAAAGGGAAAGGTCCTGCCGCCATAGGTAACCTGGTACAAAGGACCAACTTGCCGTTCAGCCTCGCCGTTATGAAATGCCCACTGCTTAGCAAGTTCAGGATGCCCTCGTTCGAAAGCTTTGATGGGACCAAAGATCCCTTCGATCACTTGGAAACCTTTCAAGCTTTTATGCATTTACATGCCGAGCCAGATGAAATCATGTGCCGAGCTTTTCCCACTACACTTAAGGGATCAGCAAGAGTTTGGTTCAACAAGCTGAAGCCAGGAACCATCAACTCCTTCGAAGAACTGAGTAAGCAGTTTATGAGCCACTTCATTACAGGTCAGAGGCATAGGAGGCCGGCTACCTACCTGTTTACCGTGGAGCAACAAAAAAAAGAGTCGATTCGAGAATACATCACCCGATTTAACACAGAGATGTTGCAGACCGCTTTCATAGGAGGACTCCAAACCTCCAGATTCTTGTTCTCCTTATCAAAAAAGCCTTCCACCACCATGGTAGAGGTGTTGATCAGAGCGCAAAAACATATCAACGTTGAAGACACCATGAGTGCACGGAAGGAAGGAGAGGACAAAAGAGGCCAGCCCCTCTCGCCAGGGATGAAAATGATACCAAATATAAGAGATCGTTCTTCAGCCAGAGCGATAGCACATATCATGAGAATGACTCAGATGAGTATACCGACTAAAAATTGTCTCACAGCTGGAATTAGCCTTATCAAGTCATTCACAATAAAGACTGGGGACATC